ATTTCTAAGAATTAGAATAATGTATACCAATGTTCCCAGTAACAAACTGAAATTCGCTGTAGACTAAAAGCATATAAAATACATGACTTTGCTTTTAGTTTTTTAAATTTGTATGAAATATGTATGCAGAACAGTGCATAGAACATAGAGCTATTACACAGTTTGTAACTAATTCCTGTGTAACCATCACACAGGTCAAGAACAGAGCATTGCCAACCCTCCAACAAGTAGAGAACTGCTGGGTCATGGAAGAAAGAAAGAAAGGAAAGAAGGAAGGAAGTGAGAGAAAGGCACAAACTCCACCTAAACTACTTGTGATAATTAGAGCTATGAATACAGAAAGTGTGAACCATGAGGTACCTACAGACCACATGTCTTCTTGCCTCATAATAAGGTCAATAAGATCTTTGTCAAACAAAAGGGCTAAACAATGTTTCCCAAAGTTTGTCCCCTAGAAACCCAAGACTCCAAAGAGGTCATCTCTCAAAAAAAAAAAATCAGTAGTCAAGAGAATTTTGGAAACACTGTATAACAGATGCACATCAGAATGATTCATAATACACGTGAGTACATTAAAGTCTCTGAAATCTTAAAGTAAAAAGATCTCTAAATTTTTTTCATGCAACTTTCCTGAACTTCTTTGACCATAGAATCCTCTGAGTCAGAAACTGTCTAAATAAAGCAGTTCTGGATTAATTGAAGTTAGTATTAACAATACATTTTTTATTTCCCCAAACCTATAAAGTATTATCTGTCTTTTTTGCTTTCACCCTATGGAATCCACAGTTGATTCAGCTTAAAGTAACTAGAGTTTTTGTGGGGTTTTTTTTGGGGGGGTGTCCATTATTAAATGAAGATTCACTTTGACATTTTTATCACTTACTATTTAAATCTTTTCAGAAGTCCTTTCATTTACTATATTGCTTCTTCAAACTCTTACATTTCACCTTTATATTTGAAACACTTTCTCAAGGACTTTTGAAGAATTGTATTTTATAATACTATGATATTTAAAAGAAATATTTCCTTCTTCCTATGAATTTATTTTGCTTTGCTAACATCATCTGACAGAACTTTACCTTTGCATTTGATGAAGACTCTTTCAATATGTGTTGACATCTCAGTTGATGGTCTAGCAACTCTATTAAAGATCTGTAGCTGTTTAAGTGCTGCTTTTCTAAAAATGTATATACCACTTGAAAAATCAATCTAGAGAGCTCTACAGTTCAACCCTCACACCTATTTTTTAATCTCAGTTTCACTGTCAAAAATGAAGTAACTAAAACTTGGCAGACCAGAATATATCATTACCCAACCAGACTATACACCAAGGTAACACTTCACTGTCCAAAGTTTTCTGCTGTACCCAGTCCTGGAGCTCCCAACTGTTTTAAACTCATGCTTACAACCTCCTCTATTATTGCTGGAAATAATTTGAATAATTTAAATTATTCAACTAAATACAGCTAAAATACAACTAAAAGCAAATTTAAATAATCGTAATGTTAAACTCACCTATTTCAAACAACACTTTTTGTGCTTCTGCTGGAAATTCTGGAAAAAAACTCAAAACAAGTAGGAGGAATGGAGCTGGGGAAGGGGATGCTAGTTAAATAACAGATCTACATTATTTACAATAGCTTTTATTGATGTTAGTGCCTTCCTTTCTGGTCTTACCTCCTGCAATTTCTCTTCACTATTATTATCCATTCATTCTTTGAAGTTCTAAAGGCCATCATTTATGTTCTTGTACACTTCATAAATTTGAAGAATTGTATATAAATGAAAGAAAAAATTGAAACAAACTTTGAATATTTACTAATTACTACTCCATCTAGATCAATCATCATATTCTGAACTGGTCATGTAAAACACTGGACATTAAAAGATACATTCTGCAAGAGTGTTCTGTGGTCAAATGACCTGGAGATGGTCAAAAAGGTTTAGAATTACTGGGTTAAACAGAGTTAAATAGATTTCCTTATCTTACGACCTCTCATATTATTTAATATGTTAATCTTTACTATGACTCTCTAAGAATAGCACATAGTATACGATGATTCCCAATTGTTTGACCATGGAAACTCTTTATTTTTTCATATATATTGACACATGCCAGAAGAGGGTTGAGTGGAAAAGTGAGCCAAGCCAAAGACAATGTCTTCAAGGAACTCTATGTTAAATTACATAAAATGATACATTACTTATAAAAAGAAAAATACAAAAATCATTTGATTATAATTTTTTAAATAAAATACATCTTCAGTATTATAATCTGATTGTGAAATTGGCCCAGTCATCATTCTTACATTAAAAAAAAAATCACTGCAAAACTTAGTGGCATAAAACAAGTATTTTTAGGATGCTCACAGAAATTGTGGGTCATGAATTCAAATAGAGTTCAGTTTATGTCTGCTTTTTGATATTTTGGGCCTCAGTTGTGGGTGACTCAAAGGGCTAGAACTAGGACAGCTGAGGCTGGGGAGCTACTTGCAAGATGGCTTCTCCACACATATGTGCAGCACATTGGAAAGAATGGCTGGAAAGCCAGTGTATTAATGAGTCATAAAATAAATGGTATGGACAGTAAGTAATATAAGTTCGGATCATAAGGGATCGCTATGGAACTGAGCAAATGATGACTTCAGGGAGGTGTTTTAGAGATTTTTCCTCTAAAAAGAGATAACTTATGACCAAATATTGAAATTTATTTATATCAATTATACATTTTCAAAGGTATGTGAAAATTAAGAATTGCCATATAACAAAGTACAGGAAATGTTCTACGCCTTTAAATTTATCCAAATCAAATTATACTTAGCTCCCAGTCTCCATTGGCCAAGTTTAGTGAAAAGAACAACATCAACAACGTTTGTGTTTCATGAGTAAATTTCATTCCCCTGAACACCCATTTCTCTCTCCATCTCCCATTCTTTTCGATCATTTATTTTATTTTGTACCAAGATATCAGATCTTATGAAGTCTAAGAAAAACAGAGGAGGTTCTCAACCAGTGGTCACTGTTGGCCACTGGAAAAGCACTCATTGTCCTTGTGAACACAGTTCATTCAGAGATGTACAAGGCTGCTGTTGCTCAAGTCTATGTTGTCAAAATCGTCTCTATGGACTTTCTCCTAGTCTGTCAAGTCAATGTTAGACGTAGTGCCCAGCCTCTTGGGCACTTCCACATAAAAAAGCTGGTATAAACTTTCCTCTAGGGTAAGGAGGGCTAGAACACAAAAACACAAAGCTGACCTTTCTGCCCAGAAAAATATATAAATTTATTTTGTTATTCTGTTGTTGGTAAATCTATTTCAACAAAAAGCCTAAGGACAAGGTAAAAATTATTAATATGTCATCCTGCCACAAGTGACAACTGCACTTTTTCTTTTATTTAAAGGTTACCAACTTCCAGAAAAGAACTACCTTGTTAAAAGGGGAGATTAAAGCACATGAATCTTGAATACCTATTGGCCACCCAAATAGGAGAGAAAATCTGTAAATAGCCTTGGTAGCTAGAAAATGAAAAGGCATTTCTATTTAGTTATATGTCTAGCATACCTAATATCAATCATTTTTCCTCTAATTCTGCTATCTTTTTAAAACTATTTGGTATTCATTGCAATTTATCCAATCACAATAAATCCATTTGACATTTGGAGATTATAGCCTGAATATTATCATCTAATTTGTATGTCTTTTAGGATCAATTGCTCACCAATACTGAGAAATTTTTTCCTAATTTGGAAACTCAGCCAAAACAATAGCTTTTTCATAATTGACAAGAAGCATATAGAAGCAATTCTGTTTTTATTTTTCTCTTTGCCTTTTTGATAAAGCCACTTTTAATGCAGCATCTCAGTATCAGATTCCCATTGCTAACATGTTGCTTCAATCTGTCTTCAATCTATACCACCAGCTGAGGGATATTAACCATATTTTACATTTCAGTAGTCAATCTGCCTATTCTATTTATTTTCTGAATAAAATAGTTAGGTGTAATTCTTGGCTGATCATATTAGCAAATGGTGTCATTACTGGTATAAAAATAATAACACTGCATTTAAGTATGATTTCTCAGTTGAGAACCTCATTTTACAGGAAGTTAAAATCACTCCCATCAGGGATATAACAAAGTTAAGTGTTTTGCCCAATACACTGAGCTATTAAGATAATCAAAAAACTTTTTTCCCAGGTTCCAATCTTTATGCCCACCTTCATCCCCGATTCTCGCTGAGTACGATCTATAAATGAAAAGACTTTGCACATTTTAACTACATCTACCAAAACAAGCTGCACAGACTCATGGATCTGTGGAACGTTATTGCTCAAAAATTCTTCGGCAGTTTTGAAACTTGGTTGCACACTGGAACCGCCTGGGGAGCTCTTAAAAATGCCGTTGTCTAGGTCACGCCACAGAGATTCTAGTTTAATTGTTACAGTGTGAGGCCTTAGCATCAGTATTTTTAAAAGCTCCCCAGGTGATTCTAACACAAAGCCAAAACTGAGAACCACTGTTCTACACCCTTGTTTTACAGATGAAACAATTAACCCTATCAATAACACATCCAAATTTGATGTGAGAACTAAAGCTAAAACTCAAGTCTTCAGAATTCCAGTTAATAACTTTTTTCACTAACCCAGGGGTTTGTGAATGTGTTTTCTGGGCCTGGGGTTCCTTGGAGATCCTGCAGGAGTCACAGAAATGATGGAGATGAAAGAGCAGACAGAGGTCTGGTCCCACTTACCCCCTAACAAAAAAGGCTTTATCTTTTTTATATGCTGGATGACATTGCAAGATTTGTTCTAGGGAAAAAATTAAAAAACGTAAGAAAATAAATGTGTACTTGCCTAAAGTAAAAATGTTTTAAACTTTTGCAAATAGACCCTATACATAGCAAAAAACCACCTACTCAAAAAGAAAGAGAGAGACAGAAACACAGGAAGGAAGGAAGGCAGGAAGGAAGGGAAGGGAAGAAGGAAGGGAGAGAAGGAAAGAGTGCTTGCTTTGACAACACATACTAAAACTGGAATGATACAGAGAGGATTAGCGTGGTCTCTACACAAGGATGACACATGAATTCATGAAGTGTTCCATTAAAAGCAAAAGAAGAAGAAATTGTGACTTTTTAAAGATCACCCCAGGCCAGTGGATAAAGTTATATATGTTAAAATGTAAACCTGGGGATTTGATCAGTTTAAATCTAAGACAATGAAAAGTTCTTAGGGCCAGAGAGTAACTGCTTTTAACATCTCAAAGTATATTTTATGATTCTTAAGGAGGACTGTGTCCTTCCACAGTGCAAGGTGGATTGAGAATACCCCTGAGGAGGCTAGTTTTGAGAACATAAGAGGACTTTTCATTAAACAGACAGGAAAAGGAAATTGGACAGAATGAAAGGTCAGGAGAAAAAGCCAGAAAGGACTGTAGGAACAAGAACAGGAAAGTTGGATAGAAAATGTCACGACAGGAACTCTGCTTCCTGGTAGAAACTAGATCTAGGCTTACTTTATAGGCTAAATTTTGAAAGTTATACAACCTAAGAAGAGAAAGTGGAGAACAGATGTTTCATCACCATAATCTCTGTCTGGAAAACCTCTATTCATTTTATCTTTGGAATGGGCTAGAGCAATGAAAAATTTAAGTCACAGCACTAAACTTGTCTATTCATCACCTACGATATCAGCTAAGACACAACACCTACCTAACTCCTGGAAGTTGCCACTTAACATTTTCTCCATAGTTTTATTTATTCACATATTTTTGCCTTAAGATTTCCAGGAATCATCCATTCTTTTATTTTGATACTGATAGATTTATATTTCTCATTACAACATAAAATCTGGAAATGATAATTTATAATAATAGTTACCACACATTGATCACCTACCATGTGCCAAGAAACATGTTACCCTGTAAATATTATCCTTAATCACCACAAAACATTATGACACTAATGTTGCCATCTTATTTCTATTCATGGGGAAACTTGGGCTCAATATGGTTAGTTTGTCCAAGATCACACAACTTTAATCTATTTTTGTTAAGATTTCCAAAGCCTGTGTTCTTTCCTCTACTACATGACACTGTTTTGTTCTCTCCAAAGATTCTTGAATCAAGTGGGAATGCCACCCTTGTTTCTGATATATGTAGGCCAGCAGTATTAAGCATGTTTGAAGCTACCTTTTTCCATTAATGGGACTCCATTTACCTTTGTCCCAGAGATCCTTGGGAAACTACTACTTTACCAAGAGTTGAAGATTAAAGTAAAATTTAAAAAAGTAATTATAAAGAGCATTTCATGACATAGAAGGACATTTATTTCTAAATGAGATTTTACAAAACTTCATCAAGTTTTATGAGCTTTAAGCATTGTATATTAATGAATCCAGAAGTCTATCTCCATCTAATATATAAGACTTAATCTTCTGCTTATCTACCTGATAGTAGACAATTAAACATACTTATTTTTGAAAATCCTCTTTTTCTTTCCTCCTGCAGAATATCTAGTAAAAATTTGACATTGTTATCACTCTGAGTTTAAAATGCTAAATGGTTTCTTATTAAAATTCTTATAACATAGGGGTTCCTGTTTTCTCCCATTTACCAAGGATGCATATCTTCTCTAAGATATATCTACCACGGTACAAATCTAACCCATGTAACACTAAAGTAAGATTTTGCTGGATCATTTTGTATTACAAACTACGTATGCAGGGTTTTGTTAATGGTTGAAACTGACTTGCAATAAAATAAACATTCATTTTCCACAGGTGACTTCACTTTTAGTTCTATCTACTTCCATATTTAAATCCTGTTCCAACCACCTCTGCTTGCTGAAATAAAAATATCTAAAAGTTTCCAAGTACTTAATATATCCTAGGCATTTTAATCATCTTAAGAAGAATATCTTAATTTAACCTCATGACAAATCTACAAGAGACATACAAATATTACCCCCTTTACAGATAAGACAACTTAACTTAAGTAATGTCCCCAAGGTTATTTAGTTAACAAGCACAGAGCACTGATCCAAATCCAAGTACTCTGACTCTAGAGCCCTTTGATGATTTGGCTACTCTTTAGCATACAACTTTCACTCCCTTCAGCCCCTTCTCTTAGCCCTCCTTAAATTATTGTTACACCTCATTGCCTGCACAAAATCAGAAACTAGAGGACAGAATCTCTGTCTCTTTTATTCCTTTTGTCATCTTACTATTTCCCGAGATAAGGCCTTGGACAAAATAGGTGCCCCCAAATTTGAACTAAAGTAAACAGATTGATCATTTATTCATTCTATAAATATCTATTAAGCATGTCTCTGCACCAGTTACTGTGATATATGCTAGAGATTGAGTGGTCAACAATATAGATGAGGGTCTTCTTTGCCCTTCTGAAATGAATATTCTAACTTGGTGACATTACATGAAAAAAAAAATCTAAGTAATCAGTCATTTCATTGGTACACTTTTAGTTGTCAGTGAAAGAAATCCAACCAAAACTAGTTTACATTAAAAGATAACTTAATGACTTACATTCCTGAGAAATCTAATAGGTGACTAACTTCAGACACAATTCGATCTAGGGTTTCAAAAACACCATCAGGAAATTCTCTCTCTCTCAATTCTGCTTTTCATGTTGTTTTATCCCTAGACAGAGCTCTCTCATGTGATGGCAACAAGAGCTCCCAGAAGTTCCATCTTACATCGTAGTGACTAAGTGGTAGGGATGTACTTTTTCCTCAAAGTTCCAGCAAACACTTTTGGTGAAGCTCTCATCGGCCATGCTTGGGCCACATATCCATCTTTAAACCAATCAAAATGGCCAACTAACTGGTCTTGTCCTGGTAATATGCTCAGAGCTCATCCCTGTGGTAGGGGGTTATTCCTAGAACATTAGGGAAAGGGAGGCCTGTCAATAAATCACATGCCTATTACTGTTAAAGAAATAAAAGTGTTAGCTGCCCCATAAACTCACTGTGCAAGAAACTGTTCTTCATATCCTTCAAAGAAATTACCCCTCAAAAAATGATTACCACCACCACCACCAAGAAAGATTTTTTAAATCTTAGTTTGAATCATTTTATTGCACTGGTAACTCTACTAAACTCATTAGTTTAAAAAAAGGGATAGTCCCACCACAAAAGTAGCAGGCAAATAACCAGATTCTAAACTAATGTATGCATTAAAATGGCTGCAATTGAGAGATATTTTTATTTTAAAAATCTAAATTTGAACAACACATTTAATTGCTTCTTTGAGATTTTTGGAATTATAACCTCTTCAACCCATACCATGTTCACAGAAAACTTCTCCTGAGCTCAGTTTAAGCAATCTTTATTTGCATACCATCAGCTGATCCCAAAAATCCTTGATAAAGATTGTTACAAACTGGTACATAAAAAGTGAATTCAAACTGATTCACATATTAAAATCCTGAAAAACAAAATAGTACCAAAGACAACTATAATGTATAAGACACGGTGGTAAACTGAAATTAATGGGAAGGTCAGGGAATGGAAAGTAAACAGAAGTAATTGAAATACTCTTTAAGGCCTTTCACTTTGGAGGACTGAATATATAAGCACTGAAAAACAACCACCTAGTTGATTATGGGAACACAGGGAGCAATCAAAGTTTAAAAAAAAAAAAAGGGCAAAAAATCAAGGTAGCTAAAGGGAATAACTTGGAAACAGATAAGAAATAAAAATAAAGAAACAGCTGACAAACTGAAAAAGGTGACTGGGGAATCCTGAGGGAGCAATGAAGGGAAGTGGCTTTTAATAAGATGTAGGGACAGACTTTGGGCTACAATCAAAAAACTCAAGAGACATTAACATTGACCTATTAGTTTAAGTCAGAACTAAATGCAGCTCATATCATTTCAGAGCCCAGTAGATAGCATCCATCCATAAGAAAAAAACATCCATCGAGTGAAAAATGTAAAGGTACCAAATTACATATGCATACTGCAATAACTAGGCTAAGTACAGAGCAATAAACAGGGGAGTTTAAGACACTTAAGCAAACATTCAATGAAACAAATAAATAAAACTGATGGGAGCCTCTTCCTTCTAAGGGATTTGGAAATATCGTATCAGTCAAAAATCCTCCTTAAGACAGTGAGCTCACGTGTAAGAAAGAAATTTTCACTACAATGCTAGTAAAGGAATGGAGACCCAGATTAGGTTTCTACTAAGCAGAATAACCAATTTTATTTTTCAATTGTGACAGAAAGAATTCTATGTGTTCATCAAAGAACATCTCCTTTTCTCTGGAGCACATAGCCAGACAACATTTGTGGTTAGATGGGGACGTATGAATGAGTTCTGAACAGCAGAATGTGGGAGAAAGTGACAAATAATACTTCCAGGCCTGGCCCTAAAATCTCTTGGGCTACCCTTCAAGTTCTCTTCCTCCTTTGTCCAAGGAAACAGTAGAGTCACTACATAAAGGAGCCAGGAGCTCTGAATGACTACTCCATGGAGAAGAGCCTCTCTGTGGACCCACAGCAAACTATGCCATAACTATTAAATGTTTATTTTATTAAACAATTGATATCAGCCAACCCTGATTAATATACAACATAGGCCCAGAACTTATTGAAGAAAACTGAACTGTTTACATGATAAAACCAGACGATTTTTTTTAAAAAAAGAGAGCTAAGGAGAGACAAGAAGGAAGAGTCCTGCAGTACAACTAAACTCCAGGGATAGATGAAGGGGAACAATTAGTGAGTTCATATTATTTGAATGGCAAATGGGTATTTAAGAGGGAGGATGTCTAATATAAACTTGAATTAAAGGTGCTGCTGTGCTTCATTGCACGTTAAGCCCCTTCTTGGATGCCGAATCTTCAGTAAAATTTGCTAAATGCAAAGCCTTAAAAAACGTAATCTTGATAGTGAAAAAATCTTATCAGAGTAGTGTCTGGCAGGGTAATACAAGGGAGAAAGGGAGCAGTGGGCACAGGAGGTGAAACAAAAAGCAAAGATTAAGAATTTAGTAACAGCAGTTTCCTTACTTATTCTGTGAGGACAGCATCACCCTAAAACCAAAACCAGATAAAGGCATTACCAGAAAAAACTATAGACCAATAACTCTC